GGCATCACAACCTCCCAATCCGCCCTGCTCTGTGCATGACAGGGGGCAGCGCCCCAACTCCCCAATCAGCCATGCTCTGAGCCGGACCAGGGGCTGCACCTAGGGATTGGGCCTGCCCTCTGCCACCCGGGAGCGGGCCTAAGCCAGCAGGTAGTTATCTCCCGAGGGGTCCCAGACTGTGAGAGGGCACAGGTTGGGCTGAGGGGACCCCCCACCCCCACCCACCAGTGCACAAATTTTTGTGCACCGGGCTTCTAGTCTATAATAATAAAAGCATAATATGCTAATTAGACCAGACATCCTTCCGGATGACCTTCCAGACAAAGCCAGGCCTGCAAAGGAAGCCTGTGTCCCAGGTGCCTGCTGGCAGCTGGAGGGAAACTGGTGCCGACAGCCAGGGGAAGAAAAGCCTACTCTCGTATGAATTTCATACATTGGGCCTCTAGTTATGAATATAAAACTGTTTTTGAGATCCTTTACCACATACTCTTTTCAAATGGATGTTATTTATTTGGAATCAGAAATAAAAAAATGACAATGTTGTTAGTAAAGCCATGAAGAATATTAGGACACATCTGTCATGTTTTAGGGTAGAGTCTTAAGTTGGTAAGGCTGTAGAAAAATGAAGGTAGCTAGTAATTCCAGTATAAGTCTCCCTGAAAAAGTGAGCAATGCCAAAACTACCATGGAAAAGTAAATTCCTTTGAGGCCCTAACCGGTTTGGCTCGGTGGATAGAGCATTGGCCTGTGGATTGAAGGGTCCCAGGTTCGATTCCAGTCAAGGGCATGTACCTCGGTTGCGGGTGCATCCCCAGTGGGGGGTGTGCAGGAGGCAGCTGATCGATGTTTCTAACTCTCTATCCCTCTCCCTTCCTTGCTGTTAAAAAATCAATAAAATATATTTTAAAAAAAATTTAAAAAAAAATTCCTTTGAGCTTTTTAAACTTGCCTTACTTGCTTTTTGAGTGACAAAACAGTAAGATTTAATAGATTAGAGTACTAGTGTTATTTTATAGAATAATTATTTTAAAGCAGATATTCAGAAAGTAGTTATATTTTTAAGTATTTGTATGATTATGTATTGGGCCAAACTTTTTTCAGTGGAAAGACATAAGATTATAAACTAATATATAGAAAAGTAAGGTTTGCTTTATAAACTTTAATTGTTAATTACACAAATACATGATTATATTTTCTCTGTAAAATGGAAAACATTATAGGAAGATATGTCTCATTTTACTTTCCCTTCACATTTTTAGACCTTTTAAAATGTATTTTTATGTGGAAAACCTATAATTACTTTTATGTGTGTATATTCTTTAATATATAGTGTTACATATATTTTTCTGTCACATTTCTAAAACAGTGTCTCTGTATTTATGTGTCTATATATATTTTGTTTTGCTTTACTTAACTTTACATTTTCTATATCTGTAGTTTTTCAGAGATACATGAAGTTCATAGGTGAAAGATAACTAAGTTAAATATTTTTAAATTGTATTTTCATAGTAAGTTTTATTAAAGATCTCATCAAAGTTAGCTCCCCATGTTAGCATTAAAGAAACATAAAAATTATTTTAGGATAAGAGCAAAATCGAACTGATTCAATTTTGGCATTTAACTTGATACTCACTTCCCAAATCACATGAATATTTCATAATGTTATTTTATGAGGATTATTGCATGTGTTCTCTTGCAGGTATGAAATTCCTGCTTGTGGCCTTTCAACCAGTTGGTGAGCCATGTTAAAAATTGCATCAATTAATTATAAATAGTATTTCAATTATAATGTAGTTCAATTGACCTAAGTTTTTGTTTTTTCTAAATTAATAGGCCAAAATTTGAAGATAGCTACATAGTTTATCTTGTGAGCTCCAAACTGCAAGTGAAATGATTATAAATGAGTCATGTTATGTATAATTGTAACATGATTTCATACTAGATTGAATATATACTCTATGTCAAACTGACAATCTTTCAATAGAAAGTAATTTGTTTTTGCTAGGTACTGCTTTTATATTGACATCTTTTTTTTTTTTTTAATCCTAACCCAAGGATATTTTTTGACTTTTAGAGAGAGTGGAAGGGAGAGACAGAGACAGAGAGAGACATTGATGCAAGAGAGACATATTGACTGGTTGCCTCCCAGGTGTCATCCAGGGCCGGGGATGGAGCCTACAACTGAAGTACATGCCCTTGACTGGAATCAAACCCAGGACCCTTCAGTCCGCTGGCCAGTGCTCTATATATTGGCATTGTAAATGAGAAAATGAGATTGTAGTACTTAGATGATGTTTCAAGTTTTTAATTGTTCATGTATTTTTCTGAGTGAAGTTTTAGTTCAATGATTGAATCACTTTCATGTAACTTTTGACTAGCAAGAAAAAAGTTTTAAGACATCACACAGATTTCTTAATCTCAGCACTTTAATTTGTGTAAAAGTAGAATATGTTACCCTCCTCAGTTAAACCTTTGCTTTGGAAGTATTTTACTGCAGGAGCAATAACAAGAACTTGAATACATGTGCTTTATGAGCAGCAGCTAAATATATAACATTTTGAAAGCTTTATATTTTGGTTACTAACTTTATTGGTGTGTATAGTATTAGAACATTTTAGTAGAGTTCATTGGCTTTCATTATGCAGAAATATATTATCTTGGGTGTTTAATTTGACTTAGTGACTTCCTTCATGATGGTTAAGTTGTGGAGGGGCTGCACAGTGTTCAGAATTTATTTTTGAAAAGTCCTTAAAAATGTTACAGCCTTATATGTTTATTTTCACTTTTATTTACCTAATGTATTGTCACCTTAAAAAGGTAGTGAATAACTATCTTTGCAGCTGCATGTGTGTTCTTTATTTATAGTTCATGATAAATTATTGTCTTACCTATGTAAGAATAAGTTAATTTTATAAATGTTAATTTGTGTGATCTGAAGATTGAGAAAGGAATTTATAACACCTTTAGGCCTGAGTTTCTGGGAGAGGGAAGAAGTATGAACTTTGAGAGAGAAGTTTAAATTAGTTAAACTAAAAGAGTAAAAACAAGTTCTCAAATTAAATAGGATGGGAATTGGGGGGAGAATTTGTTCCTTTTATACGAGACAGACTTGGAAAGGGGTTGCAATTTGAAAACACTCTGACTACCTGTGATTTGATTCCATAAATACAGTTTGAGTATCAAAGTTATAGTAAAAGTTGTATTCATTCTATTTTTATGTCAGTCAGACTTGTATATTATGTTAGGCTTCAAATTAGACTAAACAAAATTGTGCTGCCCAGCCGGTGTGGTTTAGTGGTGAGTGTCGGCCTATGAGCCAGGAAGTTATGGTTCCATTCCTGTTCAGGTCACCTGCCTGGGTTTCGGGCTCAGTCCATTCTGAAATCAATAAAAATACATATTTTTAAAATTTTGCTAATTTTTCCAAGATAAAGTTTTCTAGAGCACTCCTATATGCCAGAGAGATATGAAATGCTTCTCCTCAAGGAAGAAAATTTAGAATTAGTAAAGGCATCATAATCATCATAACCTTCACCCCCCTACTCCAAGCAAGGTGGTTTCCCTGGCTCTTGGTTCAAGATGAGGAAGAGAACCTCTTTATCTTGAGCAGACGTGGTCTTGAGGTGGTAGAAATGTTCACATCAGCTATTTTGGTTTATATATATTAGGCTATTTTGGTTTTCATATTGTCTTTGAAAGAGACGTTCCTATTCTATTCTTTAGTTCCCCAGTTCCATATTTTATTTCTTTTCTTTTTTATTCTCACCAGAGGACATGTTCATTGATTTGAGAGAGAGAAACATGAATGTGAGAAACATTGATTGGTTGCCTCCCACATGTGCCCCTACCAGGAATCAAACCCACAACCCAGGCATGTGCCCTAATCATGAATCAGACCTGCAACCCTTAGGGACTACACTCCAATCCTATAAGCCACCTGACCAGAGCATATTTTACTTCTTTCAAAAGCTATTCAAAGACTCCTACTACCCTCCATTTAAACCCAGAGTTTGATCTTTTTTCATCTTGCCTCCTAGTATACCTGTTTGATAGATCTCTTTAGCTGCAGATTCCAAGGCATCAGAATGTGATAGCAAACTCTAAGCCTTTTCTCTGGCAGAAATTAAAGGACAAAATTCTTGAACTGACCCTACATTCTTCTCTAAGATTGTCTGGCTTTCATTGCAATGAATATGTAATTTATTTAACATACGTTTACTTTGTTTAATACATTAATCATGGTTCGGATTCTTGGGATATAAGTAAATATGACTCCTAACCTTTGAGTTATTCCAGTATAACTGTGTGTGGAGGATAGGGGGTGGAGAGATTCATATATAATTTTAATGTGGTGAGTGCTGTAGCTGAGTTTTGGACAAACTATGAGAGTACTGATGAATGATTAATTCTGCTCAGATTACCATGTGAGTATGTTGTGAAGTATACTAGTAGTAGTTCACCAAGTAGACAAGGTTGGGAAAACCATTCCAGAATACGCAAACCAGGGATGCACAGACTTGATTAGTTAGCAGACCAGTATATCAGGTCAAGGGTCATTAGCCACAACGTTTAGAGAATTGGTTTTATCAAAAATACTATGAAATAAGGCACTGATATGTCAAATTCATATATTAGAAAAGTAATTATGGAGGTATTATACAAGCTATATTAGAAAAGGGTGGGTTTGCAAATGAGGACATTATAAAATTAGTCTATGATTCTGGTTCCCAAACACAGTGGATTACCTAGAGAAGGTGTTAAGGATATAGATCCTTGGCCACATACATTGGGTTCTTAATGTCAATTTTGTGTTTTTCAATTCTTGTTTCTAGTTGATTCTTTTTCATATCCTGCTATATCACTTTTTACAGTTCCCTGCTGAATTTCAAGCTTGGCCTTTATCTCCTTAAAACATAGTAAGTATAGTTGTTTCATAGCCTGTGTCTGATAATTCCAATGTCTGGAAATTCTGTAGATCTGTTTATATTGAATATTGGTCCTGCTAGTTTTTGTCAGCAGATGCCATTTTATCTCTGTATGTGCCTAGTTACCTTTGCTTGGGTGCTGGACATAATATTTGAAACATTATATATAGAAAACAGTTTGAAGGCTAAGGTGATGCCATCCTTCATAGATTTGAATTTGTGTCTCTTAGGTGCCTGGTTGGCACTAGTTATATAGTTTTTTTCATTCATTCAGATGAGGCAAAGATCAGATAAAGTCTGTTTGGCCATTTTTCTTATTAAGTTGTAAAAGTTTTTTTATTGTTAAACCAACTTTGTGTTCCTTGGATAAACTTTAGTTAGTCGTAATATCCATTTTGTATGTTGATGGTTCAATTAGCATGTGTGTGTATTTAAATTAATAAACTTTATTTTTTAGAGCTGTTTTGGATTTCCAGCAAAATTGAGCAGAAAGTACAGAGAGTTTCTATATACACTCTGTCCCTATACACCCACAACCTCCTCCACACAGTGTGGTACATTTGTTACAATCAGTGAACCTACATTAATACATCATTATCACCCAAAGCCCATAGTTTACATTAGAGTTTACTCTCTGTGCTGTAAATTCTCTGTTCTATGGGTTTTGATGAATGTATATAATGACGTGTGTTCACTATTATTCCTATCATACAGAATCATTTCATTGCCCTAAAAATCCTTTCTGCCCTGCCTGTATATCCTTTCATATGCCCCTAAATCCCTGGCAACCAATTATCTTTTTACTTGGCTCTATAGTTTTGCCTTTTTCAGAATGTTAAATAGTTGGAATAATACAGTATATAGCCCTTTCATATTGGCTTCTTTCACTTAGCAATATGCATTTGTTTCTTTTATGTCTTTTCATGGCTTGATAGTTCATTTCTTTTTAGTGTTGAGTAATATTTTAATGTTTGGATGTGCCACAGTTCATTTATCCATTCACATCTGAAGTACAGCTTGGTTGCTTCCAAGTTTGGCAATAATGATTAAAGCTGCTATAAAACATTTGTGTGCAGGTTTTCATATGATGTAAGTTTTTATTTCATTTGGGTAAGTACCAAGAAGTCTGATTGCTGGATTATATGATATGAGGATGTTTAGTTTTGAAAGCAGCAGCCAAATTGTTTTCCAAAGTGGCTAGACCATTTTGTATTCCCACTAGCAAAGCATGAGAGTTCCTATTGTTCCACATCCTCACCAGCATTTTGTGTTGTCAGTGTTTGGGATTTTGACCATTCTATTAGATATGTAGTAGTATCTCGTTTTAATTTGCAATTTCCTATTAACACATGAGGTTCAAAACATCTTTTCATGTATTTACTTGCCATCTATATATCTTCTTTACTGAGATGTCTCCAGATCTTTTGCCATTTTAAATTAGATTGTTAATTTTCCTAAAAACAATAAGAACAGAACTCAATAAACTTTTAGGAGTTCTTTGTATATCTTACAAAACAGTCCTTTATCAAATGTATCTTTTGAAGATATTTCCTCCCACTTTGTGGCTTCTTTTAATTTTCTTGACAGTGTCTTTCACAGAGCCAAAGTTTTTAAAATTAATGAAGTTCTGCTTCTCATTTATTTCATGGATTATGCCTTTTTATCTAAATTCATTATCATATCCAAAGTCAGCTAGGTTTTCTCCTATTTTCTAGTAGTTTTATAGTATTTTTATTTTACATTTCGACCTATTGAGTTAATTTTATGAAATATGAAAGTGTAAGTTCTGTGTCTTGGTTCATTCTTTTTGCATGTAGATGTCCAGTATTCAGCACCATTTATTGAAAAGACTGTCTTTGATCCTTTATATTGCCTTTGCTCCTTTGTCAAAGATCAGTTGACTCTATTTATGTGTCTATTTATGGGCTTTCTGTCCTGTTCTATTGATTTATCTGTCTATTTTGTCAGTCCCATGCTGTCTTGATTACCATAGCTTTGTAGTTAGTCTTGAAATTAGGTAGTATTCATCTTTCAACTTTATTCTCCTTCAGTATTGAGTTTATTATTCTGGGTCTTTTGCCACTACATATAAATTTTAGAATCATTTTGTCAATATTCACAAAATAACTTGCTGGGATTTTGATTGGGATTGTGTTGAATCCATAGATAAGTTGGGAAGAACTGACATCTTGACAGTACTGATCTATCCATGAACATGGACTATCCATTTATTTAGTTCTTCTTTGATATCTTTTGTTAGAGTTTTGCATACGTTATTAGATTTATACCTATTTCTGTTGGATGCTAAAGTAAATATCAATTTATCTTAAATTTCAAATTTCATTTGTTCATTGCTGGTATATAGAAAAGTGATTGACTTTCCTTGTATCCTGCAATGTTGGTATCATTGCTTATTCGTGGTTTTTTTGTGTGTGTTTTTGTCTGTTTTTCTTTGGATTTTCTATACAGGCATCTGCAAACAAAGACAGTTTTATTTCTTCCTTCCCAATCAGTATATCTTTATTTCCCTTTCTCTTCTTACTGTATTAGCTAGAATTTCCTATAGATGTTGACAAGCAGTGGTGGGAGAGGTCTTCCTTGTCTTGTTCTTGCTCTTAGCAAGAAAGTTTTAAGTTTTTCACTATTAAATTAGCTACAGGTTTTTTGGTAGATATTCTTTATCAAGTTGAGAAAATAGCCTTCTTTTCCAAATTAGTTTTTTTTTTTTATGAGTGGGTGTTGAATTTTGTCAAAAGCTTTTTCTGTGTATATTAATATGATCATGTAGTTTTTCTTCTTTGGGGTATTGTGATGGATTACACTAATTGATTTTGTTTTGTTTCTTAATCCTCACTGAGGATATTTTTTCCATTGATTTTTTTTTTAAGACACAGTGGAACAGAGGGAGGGAGAAAAGTTGGAAAGAGAGAGAAAGACTTTTAGAGAGAGAAACATTGATGTGAAAGAGACACATCAATCTGAGAGAGACATATCAATTGGTTGCCTCCCACACATACTCCGATCGAGCCTGCAGCCCAGGTACGTGCCCTTGACTGGGATTTAAACCCAACACCCTTCGATAGACTGGCTGATGCTCTAACCACTGAGAACAAGAGCTGGGGCACATTAATTGATTTTTAAATGTTGAGCCAGCTTTGCATATCTGGTATAAATCTTCTTTGGTCATAGTGTATAATCCTTTTTATACATTGTTGGATTCAATTTGCTAATACTACTTTGTTGAGGTTATTTGCATCTATGCTTATGTGAGATACTGGTCTGGCTTTCTTTTCTTGTAATGGCTTTGTCTGTTTTTGATATTACGGTAATGCTGGTAAATAATAATACATGAATAAACCCTGTTTTGTATGCTTGCAACTATAAACTTACTTTTGCTCTGCCCTGTTTATTCATGTTTTCATATGTTATATTCTTTCTACCTAAAAATTTTCCTTTAAAATAGCTTATAGCCTTTCAGCTGGAACTGCCATCATACAGTAATTCACAAAATGACTAACACAAGGGGAAAGAGGAGAGGCACCTGCTATATGTTCCCTAGGCCTTTTAGAAAACATGGAATTGTTCCTTTGGCCACATACATGCAAATCTACAAGGAAGGTGATATTGTGGGCATCAAGGGAATGGGCACTGTTCAAGAAGAAATGCCCCACAAATGTTACCATGGCAAAACTGGAAGAGTCCACAATGTCACCCAGCATGCAGTGGGCATTATTGTGAACAAGCAAGTTAAGGGCAAGATTCTTGCCAAGAGAATGAATGTACATATTGAGCATATTAAGCACTCTAAGAGCTGAGATAGCGTCCTGAAACGTGTGAAGAAAATGATCGGAAAAAGAAGGAAGCCAAAGAGAAAGGTACCTGGGTTCAACTGAAGCGTCAGCCTGCTCCACCCAGAGAAACACACTTTCTGAGAACCAATGGGAAGGAGCCTGAGCTGCTGGAACTCATTCCCTATGAATTCATGGCATGATAAGTGGGGGGGAAAGACTTCTGTGCTGATAAAAAATAAATAAATTAAATTAAATAGCTTATAATGCAGGTCTGCTGACAACAAATTCAGTTTTTGTCTGAAAATTTTTTTATTGTACTTTCATTTTTGAAAAATATTTTTTTTTTGGTATAGGATTCTTAGTCAGGAGGAGTTTTCTCACCTCATTTTTTTCTTTTCACATTTTAAAGATTTTTCCATTATCTTCTGACTTGTACAGTTTTGGATGAATCTGAACATTCTGGTCTCTCCTTTCTGATGACTTTCTAGTTGGTGGGAATGTGAATACTTCTCAACCCTGATGGAGTTCTGGAAACTGTTTTGCTTATCACTCTCCAGTAATTGTTCTTTTCCCCAGAAGTTTTCCCCCCAGCTTTGTAGTGTTTTGCCTTGCACAAGTGCAGATTAGTATTCAGCTAAAGACTCAAGAGGATTCTTATGCAGATTTCTGGAGTTCTTTCTCAGTGGAGTGCTTTCTTTCTAACTACTCTGGCACACAAGTTCTGGCCCTGGTTAGCCTGTCCAAACTAGTAGCCAGGCTTTTTTTGAGGTCCCCTGTCCCATACTGATGTCCAGAATTGCCTTCGTGCACAACACTGGGTGTTCAGTAGGCTCACCCTGTTTGTTTCCCTTTGTCAGGGATCATAGAGGTTGTTTTCAGCAAGAAAGTTGTATGGCCAAAACCGGTTTGGCTCAGTGGATGGAGCGTTGGCCTGCGGACTGAAGGGTCCCGGGTTCGATTCCGGTCAAGGGCATGTACCTTGGTTGCGGGCACGTCCCCAGTGGGGAGTGTGCGGGAGGCAGCTGGTCGATGTTTCTCTCTCATCGATGTTTCTAACTCTCTATCTCTCTCCTTTCCTCTCTGTAAAAACTCAATAAAATATATTTTAAAAAAAAAAAAGAAAAAAAAGAAAGTTGTATGAATTACCCTGTCCACCAAGTGCGAATCTACTCTGTCTTTCTGCAGAATTTTTGGCAAACA